TTGAAAACGCTCAACTCAAGTAAACTTACACAAGTACAAATAGAATTAGAACACGCCTGCAAACAAGTATATGTCTGAAACATACAATTTACTCATTTACTTTTAAAATAAAATATGAGAAAAATGAACGAAAATCCTTACGATCGTGTCAAATTAAAACGTGAGTTATTATTTTTTTTTCTAAATAATTATCCTACCTTCGAGTATTTCCAATGCTGCTTTCACATATTCAGGTTAAATGAAAAAAAAACATACAAAAACTAATGTAAGCAAATATTAATTTTTATCTATAAACTATGTTAACTTTAAAGGTTTATAATATTATTAAATGTAACATAACTTATATTATGTTTTTATTTATTTACGGTTGTACATAAATATTGATATTGAATAATTATTTTATAAGTTTATATAAAACCCCATAATAAAAATCAAGAAGGGAGGTATAATCTCTAAAAATTGTAGAAATTGTAGATTCATTTTTTTGAAAGATAAATTTTATCTTATTTTCGATAGCGGAAGTAATATATACCCACCATATGCCAATCCTAAAATCATATTTTGCCAAACCAAAATATATTATTCAATATGAATAATATGATATTTAAATGTTTCCGTTTTGTGTTGGCGGATACATCATTAACTAGTACAAAAAAGTAAGTTGGCGTTGATATTTTTTAGGTATACCTACGATGTTATTTATACCTTGACCCAAAAATTATAGAATAATAACGAAAAATAATAAGCATATGTATAATAAGATCAATAAAATTAGAAACACTTTAGTAATTACAAATAAAATCAATTAAAATGTGAACATATACTTAAACAATAGAGACCTACCTAACACAACCTTTATTTATCATATATTACATTTTGATTAGAAACAAATATTTTAATACTTATTCTATATGTTAAGTATATAGTTTTGCACACTACAATCTATTATAAAAATAATAACTACGGTACTCCGCTTAATCATTTATGAATATTATTATTAAGCATGTTGTATTATTTTAGCACAATTAAAAATATCAGGCTTAAAGTTCACGGAGAAACATTTATAATTATTATTTTAGTTTTCACATGAACTAATAGAATATTGTAGAATTTAGAGTTTTAAAGACATTTTTTTAAACTATACAGAGCATATAAAATAAATGTGGAATAGTATATCATCCCTAAATACTGATAAACCATATGAAAATATTATAAAGAATTTTTAAATTTCAAGGACATCAAAATTCCACCTCTTGAAATTACCGAATATATAGATTATAGACTTTTCATGACATTTTAAAAGATAATATACTTTGTTTTCTGTTTCTCCTAAATAAATTATACAAACTATTAGAACAAGAAACTTAACTTTTTAATTTCATAGCCTAACTTTATTTAAATCAAATAAGTACTCTCCAGATATCTATTGACTCACTCTCGTATGTAGCAAAAATAAAAATAAAAACCTTAAGTGTTCTAACTTAATGAGATAAAATGTGTGTAGGCGGTGACTGTATTGAGGTTTAATTCGAGCCCTCTCCCACAATCAGGATTTTATTAACCATTTTTAATGTATAAAATAAATATTAATAATTTATGACTATGAATTATAAAAGTAATTAATATAGTAAATATTATAAAAATTTCTAAAATATAACAATAGGTAATAAAATGATAAAAGCTGTCTTTGTAAGAAAAATAAAACAATTATTTTGTGCCATGATACCTACTATAATATGCCTCTTTCTCTTTAAATTTAGTCAAAAACGTTAATGTATGTAAGTGTGATTTAAAGTCAACTTCAAAGTTGACTTTAACTTAGGTACTATAAATTAAACATATTTAATAAAATATTAATAAATTGTAAACTCCTATATAAGGTACTGAATTAACATAATATCTTCAGTTATTACTTATTATAGTGAGCAATACTGTACGTAGGTTGTTTTATTTATTTATAATCTGTATACTACAATAAGTTTCGGATTGAAAGTGAGAAATAGAAATAACAGAGGTTTCGAAACCTATATATAATGTTGAGTATGTGATATATTTGATAATACAATTTTACGATTATAACTTCTTCTTAAAACTCTCTAGTAAGGCCGTGCATAAACTATATATATATATATTTTTTAAGTATTAATCTTGAACATTTAATCAGTACTTTATTAAATCTATCAATAAATAATATATTTTACTACCAACTGTTTTTAGTTATTTAAACTAAATATTCAACTTCTAATTCTGCATGACAGTTAAACATTTTAAAAACTGAAGGAATAGTATATAACATTAAAGTATATTACTCGAAACCTTATAAGCAAAGAAAACGTGAGATATATTCTTAAAATGTCAGACCATAATTATTTTTAAAATAAAAAATATTGTAATGTTTTTGAACATCAGTAATAAAAATTACCTAATCAACATAAGGTTACGTCAACGAGAATTAATATTCAAGTTTGTTTGTCTTGTTTAATGATAAGACTCCTTTTGTGACCAAAAACGATGCAATCCACTATTCAAATAATTGAAATGTATAATGTATTATGTTTTGTGTAGAGAAATGTGCATAATTATATTAATACGTATAACGGCTATACCTAGGTAGTAGGTACTATCTATAAAACTAAACCTAAAGTTTAAGATTTTTAAGATATTAATATGTATGCATTAAGTATAAATAATGTTATAACATTATTTTTTTATTTGTATTAACTACCGGCCAATACCTATTTATATTCATGTAAAATATTATGATACACATAAGTATATAACCATAAATAGTAAAATATAATACTCTGTAGATACCAATATAAAAAACATGACTCACTTTTTTCAAATGTTTGTTCACCCATTTTGTAAACGTTTTCTTCTGTATGGCATCTCTTTCATCTGAAAATAAAGAAAACTTTAGTTTAAAAATATAGAGCATTACTATTTAAACTTAAAACATATTTTCCATGATACAGTTCAAACAAGCAAACAACAATTTATTATTAATATATTATAGCCTTTATAACTATATAATATACACTACAGTGTGTGTCCATGTATAATAACGTTCAGCCACGTCATTATATGTACATATAAGTTTGCCAGCAAAAAAACTACATCTTATATGTACTCAATATAATACAAATAAATTTACATAAAACTATACGAATTACGACATTTCTAAATTTTAAAATTTATAACAAGTAACAACAACACTAAACTCTGTGCCCCAATATAACAATATTCATTAGACATGCAATACCGTGTAATTACTGTATCTGGGAGCGTTCCGGCTACACGTAATCGAATTTACAAGAATTTATTTATCATTAAACTTATCCATTTTGGTTGGATTTTTTCTTCGACCTATTTAGAACATTTTTCATGCAATATTTTAATACAGTACTCCAAAATTAGAATTTAATTTATTTTTATTTTATGACAATTCATGTCAAAATTGGAATATTTACCAAATAATATTAACTCGAAGGACGTAGGTAGAATAAGATAACATTAACAAAAAACACATAATTATGATAATTTATTTAGATGCAAAGTCAATACAAATTTCATATATATATTTTGTATTAAACCAAATTAATTCTAACTGTTTCATTACATGTCATCGTACACGCAGTGTTTACATTGTCATTTTCAATCTACACAGATATTTAGAAAACTGTAACGAATAATTGGGATTTACTTTCATTTTAAAAATTTATCGTAACAAAAAAAATACCTTTATGATTTAAAAGAATAGTGATGTGGACGTCAAATGTTCAACGAAAACTTTCTAACAAATATTTTTAAAACCAAAAATGACACATTTGGCATAATTAACTTAAGACAATGATATGTAATAAATGGTAGAATGATACACATTTTTAGATTGGCAGACGGTCAAGTAGGTTTATCAAATGGAATAATTCCAATTGAAATCATAATTTGGTTTTGGCACTATACCACACCTTTTACTAATACATAACACCGTCACACATTTTCAGAAACTTAAACCTTTATTTTAAAAAATGAAATGAACAAATATAATAATGTATTAAAGTATATTGTATAGAAGTATATGAGTAGATTTAAGATTATTTGTATTGAAGACATACATATTTTTTATCGTTTAGGTGCTAAACAAAATTTATTTAATTTAAGATATTAATTTAAAAAAATAATAACTTAGTAAATTATACGGCATCATAATATGTTACAAATATATGTAAATACTCCTAAAATGGCTATGTAATTATTTCGTACATCGAACAAAGTAAGAAGAACATGAATTTAAATAATCAAAAAAATAGAGATGTTTGTTAAAATTATGTAGCTAGGTATAAGTATAGTTTTTATTCGAAAATAACAGTGGACATTCATAGATTAAGGTGGTCCTGATATAATATTATTATTATACCCGTGCATCATATTAAACCTGTGCATTTATTTTTCAACACGTTTTAATTATATATAGTAACTTAAAATACTGCTTTATAACAATAAAAACAGTTCTTATTTTTTTGAATAAAACACAAGAATATTATAAAATGACACCAGAACGAAAAAAAAAGTATTGATTTTCAGATAATACATCTGAACAATATGTTGATAATTTAACTAATGTCTAAATCAATAATTAGAAAATTAACCAATGTAATATATATATATATATATAGGTATGTGTTACACATTTTATAAACTTAAAAATTAGGTAGTAAATAAAAAATGCAGCCGTCGTCGTTTACATAATATTAATCCCGTGAAGCGACTGACTTCAGAGACATTTTTCAAATGCATTCTATTCTCTATATACCTAAGACGCGCTTTAATAAATTTTCTAAAAAGATAATTTCACCTCGGTGAAAAACAAAAGATCCGGGGTTAGGAAWACTATAACAACAGTGAAACCTGACAACCTAAGGTCAAACACCCATTGTCGGTACACACAGCATGGCTTATAATCTATATATATTATATACATATGTATACAAATGTATGATATATTTTCTAATTAGCACAACAGCTATGGATTGTAATACCTGTTCATTGTACGTCATAACTCATAGTATTATATACGGAGTGATCAATTTTTCTATTTCACCAACAACACTAATTAGTTATTTTACAAGCCAACACGTACAAATTTTGAGGGAAAACGTTCTACACGAAAAACTTAAATACAATTAACTTCGTATTGTATATTAGGTACAGATATAAAAATAACAAATGTAAAAATAATAAATTTTTTTTTCAATAATAAGTTAACACAGCACACTGTTGTTACTATATATTAGTGTTACTATACTTAGCAATTAATAATAATAATTAACATAACGAAAGATCTATCGATATGTAGACAAATAACGAAATATATAAAGCAATATATGGATCCGAGGGTGAAAAAGGTACAGTCTATTGACCTTTCCATGTAGATATTTGTAACACGTACCTATAACCAATTATATAGGAGCATATAATAATTMATCGATTTTCAACTGCAATAGGTTTTCCAGTTGAAAAGTGAATCCAGTTGGTGCATTAAGGAGGTCAAAATTTAAAATTTTTAGAAGTTTTCAAAAGCACCGGAAAACAAAAAAAAAATAAGGAAAAACTGGTATTTTTACGCAAAATCGGTTTTTGAGAAAACAGATTTTAGATATTGGTGCAACTCCTAAAACAAATTACCGTAAATACATAAAATGTTCACTTAATATTTATATTAGCATTTTTTACACTTGATAACATTTTCAAAATATTTCAAGTTCAAATTTTGATAAAATTTATTAAATTGAAAATGTATAAATTATTTAGTTGTAAAAATGTATAGAACTTTTAACTTTTATAGATAAGGATCGAAAATTTAAAACAAGATTACACGTAAGTAGTTAGTAGGAACTATAACAAACAATCTAAAATCTAGGTACCTATACAAACACAGTTTTTTAATAGTTATTTTAAGTTTAAATTTAAAGAAATTACATATTAAATAACCAAGAAAAATAATTTTAGTTATATTGTTATAATTTAAAAATATTATTCGTGGGTACTTATGCAATTTCTAGAGTATACTATACTTTATATCCTAATTTTAATATTTAATGTCGTTAATGACTTATATTAATACTTTAAAGTGTGTTATATATTTTATGAATGACTGAGTGAGTTAGGTACATAATGAATATCTGATTTGATTAATTTTGAATTTATTTTGTAGGTACCTTACCTACATTTATTTTTAAAATAATAACAATATAATTAATATAATATAAAATATCATAGACTGACAAACCGTTTTCACACAGAATCATTTTTTTGCATACAATGATATTATATCATTGAATTCAAATTTAATTACATCCATTACATCACAGTATCTCACTTATAACCTGCTACTGTACAGCAGACCATCAACATCCACTTGCCCATTTTTTTATATTAATCATTGTGGTAGAGTGTGAGACGTTATTAATTTTTTTCAAAAATAATGAGATTTCAATGATAACATCATATACGCATTGATTTCTATGAAATTTAATAAAATAATTGTCGAAAACAAATTGAAAAAAAGATTTCTATAATTAAAATTCTATAACAAAAAATGCATAGGTACATACTATAAATTGTACATAGTTATGCCCGATTTTTCATATATTGTACTATTATACACATTGATATAGAACTTGTCCTTCCCTTCCTTATTATTACCACAAAAAAAATGTATGTGGACGCCTATATGGCAGCTGGACGCTTCAAGACGACTTTTATAGTGCTGCCGACATCATATAAGTATAACATACATATAATTAAATTATACGAGGCTTCTGCACGTACATGCGCGTGTGTGCAATGCGTAGTATACATAATATAATAATATCGCGGTTGACGTAACCGTTTACCTGGTATTTTAAGCAGCCACCAGTCACCGCGATGATTCAACCAGGTTCGCGCTCATATAGTGTTATTTAATATCGTCTAATTAGCAGATCAATGAGCAGAAAAAATAACTCTACGTAGATAAATTATATACATAAAAATATAAAATGATATATTATATCGTCAATAGTCGTATATTTCTCTAGGTTAGTATTCCAAGGTTACGAATAAAACAATTACGAATTCGGGGAATAGAACTATACAAATTTCACGCACCGGAAACTATACAGAAACCAAACGAAACTTGACTTTCGTGGGAAATACTGTAATCCCCATCGATTGTTTTTATCCTTTATTTTTCCTACTACAATATGATTAATTTCCAAAACTAGAAGCAAATCATTTAATCACACAATTGCATGTAACAAATTCGATTTTATAACAAATTAATAACGATAATATTTTTTCATAATTGCATTTAAAAAATAATGTGTGATAAAATAATAATACCACATAGAGTAATAAAATAAATTTTAAATTATAAATAACTAGATATATAATATTAGAATTGCTAGTCCGGTAAATTACGAGTATTTACATTTTATACACTGCAATTTTTTGTTTATGATATCATTGTTTCATTAACAAATATTTTATTTAGTCGATTTTTATTTTAAAGCACTATTCGTATATTATGTGTTCTTAAAAAAATGTTATACTTGTAATAGTCCCTAAAGTGCTGAAACATTTCAATAACAATAAACGAAAAAAAATGTATGTCACACTATAATATATTGGTATTTAATTAATACAAAGCTAAGCAAATTTAAAATAATGTCTACACTGTATTTGCATTTATGATACATAATAATGGATATTTGCCCCATTTAACATAACGCCAGAACAAAAGCAAATATAAACACCATCACACTCAAAGACGCACTCGGACCAGGACAAGAAAAAACCATAACAAATTTCATCAAGATGGCCAATCTCACAACGAACATATAAGACAACGGATCAAC